CACTACACCCACACAACACCCACACAACACCCACACAACACCCACACAACACCCACACAACACCCACACAACATCCACACTACACCCACACAACACCCACACAACACCCACACAACACCCACACAACACCCACACAACACCCACACAACACCCACACAACACCCACACAACACCCACACAACACCCACACAACACCCACACAGACCCACACAACATCCACACTACACCCACACAACACCCACACAACACCCACACAACACCCACACAACACCCACACAACACCCACACAACATCCACACTACACCCACACAACACCCACACAACACCCACACAACACCCACACAACACCCACACAACACCCACACAACACCCACACAACACCCACACAACACCCACACAACACCCACACAACACCCACACAGACCCACACAACATCCACACTACACCCACACAACACCCACACAACACCCACACAACACCCACACAACACCCACACAACACCCACACAACACCCACGACACCCACACAACACCCACACAACACCCACACAACACCCACACAACACCCACACAACACTCACACAACACCCACACAACACCCACACAACACCCACACAACACCCACACAAAACCCACACAAACCCACACAACACCCACACAACACCCACACAACACCCACACAACACCCACACAACACCCACACAACACCCACACAAAACCCACACAAACCCACACAACACCCACACAACACCCACACAACACCCACACAACACCCACACAACACCCACACAACACCCACACAACACCCACACAACACCCACACAACACCCACACAACACCCACACAACACCCACACAACACCCACACAACACCCACACAACACCCACACAACACCCACACAAAACCCACACAAACCCACACAACACCCACACAACACCCACACAACACCCACACAACACCCACACAACACCCACACAACACCCACACAACACCCACACAACACCCACACAACACCCACACAACACCCACACAACACCCACACAACACCCACACAACACCCACACAACACCCACACAACACCCACACAACACCCACACAACACCCACACAACACCCACACAACACCCACACAACACCCACACAACACCCACACAACACCCACACAACACCCACACAACACCCACACAACACCCACACAACACCCACACAACACCCACACAACACCCACACAACACCCACACAACACCCACACAACACCCACACAACACCCACACAACACCCACACAACACCCACACAACACCCACACAACACCCACACAACACCCACACAACACCCACTCAAAACACACACACACACACAACCCACAAAAAAGCACACAACACCCACACACCCACACAAAACCCACATAACACCCACACAACCCACATAACACCCACACAACCCACACAAAACCCACACAACACCCACACAAAACGTACACAAAACCCACATATCACTCACACAACAACCACTCCTACGAGAACTTGCCTAGGACAATGTTAGTCCTGCTGGTGGAGCATGTCCTCTCCTCCTGTCCTCGGGTCCTACAGTTACCCACTAGGACACCCACGGGCTTGTCGCTGGACACCACACTCCCTAGGGAGGGAGAAAATGGGACACATCTATGTCACAGGAAATTGTGTAATTAAGGTTAAGGATGTTGATGTAATTAAACAGAATAATTAGACAAAACATAAACATTGACCAAATGGCCAACCGTGCTTTTGACAGTGCCATGTTCTAACAACGGACGATTACAATACTTTCTCACGTTAATCCTACAGTAGTCTCCTTAATAAGCCTGGCAGTTTCCTTCAGGCATCTGCTCCTAAGCACGTCTACTGCCCCCACCCCCCAACTTAAACGAAACATAATTGATATAGAAAACATATTATACTTTTAGCAGCGTCCACCCTCCCGCCCATAGTAATATTTAAACCCCCCCTCCCAACATTTTCAAGTGCCCCCCTTCAACCCCCCACCCCCTCCGCGGAGAACACAGTCAGAACACAACACGGAAGCCTGGTTTAGCTGTGTCACGGATACTTACCGGTCAGGGAACCAATGACATCTTGAGTGATGTCACATCGCCCACTCACAAAAGCCTGCTCGCTGGTTATAAAATAATTAATTAATTAAAAATTAAGCGAACGACGGAGGGTTAGATTTCGTATAATGTGACATTAGAAGTTAGATTTAGGGCTACAATAGCATGAAATGTTCAACTTTGACGAAATGACTCTGGTCTATAACTCTCATGATTCTTTCTTTTTTTTTTCGAATAAGCATGTTTGCTTTTATCAGGGAGAGCTTGCCCCCCCCCCCCCCCCCACCCAAACTGATAAAAAAACGATGCATGCTACTCATGCAGATTCTCAAGTTCATTTTTTAACCCCGGACTCTTAGAATCCAGCACGAAGCACAGGATTACAACAACAGCATTTTATTTTTAAACGTTCGCCATTTACGGTAACAGACATTTGAACCCGGAGACAGCGTGTCGTGCTTTTCCACGTAACCAAGACCAGTCCTTATATGGCCATGTCCTGTTGAGACAGCTCGTGCAGAGATATTTTTAGACAGCGGAACTTAGTGCAGTTAATGTAGTCGAACACTGGCTTACGTTTTTACTTCCACGTACACGATGTATAGTGGAAGTACTGTAATCATGCAAAAAACAAAAAAACAAATTCAAATTGTTTTGCAAATCTCGACGTTTTACACCTCCCTGAGTCGGAAAAACATAGTTTTGCAATCTTGTCCGTATGTGTGTGTGTGTGTAGGTGTGTGTGTGGGTGGGTGAGTCTGTGTGGATGTGACTGTGAGTACCGTTACAGATGGGTTGATGAAATTGTTTACATAAGTAATACATCAAAATTGTAGTTTTGTATCAAGTTTTAAGCGAGTTCCTGTAATCGGAAGTGGAACTTATTCTTCTTTTGTTTTTTTAGAAAGCCTATAACTTGATTACTGTCTCATATAAATAGACGAAATTTCACATAAAAGGAAAATATCTAATTCTCTGTCTTCTGTCAAATTGTGAGTAATTTCCATTAAAAATGGATTAAAAATAATGTCTAAGTCCCTAGTGGCCATCCCTTGTAGTGTTATATAAGAATATTGGAGAAATATTAGGGAGATCACTCCCGCTTTATTCATTGCAGAATGCTCACACATATATATACACACACACATTTATAAATACACATACACAAGCGCGCACACATACACGTACACACGTACACACGTACTCATACACACACACAACGTCATATATATATATATATATATATATATATATATATATATATATATATATATATATATATATATAGTCTAGTAGTGAAAAGACAATAAGACACTGTGTTGATGTAATTTGTACAAAAGCTATGTAAGTGGAACGAAGTGCTGTAGACTGTGTGTGTGTGTTTGTGTGTGTGTGTGTGTGTCGTTAGTATGGTGTTGTAAAACAGTGTCGAGTACGGGTTAAATGATGGTGAACGTGAATAACAAGGGATTAGTGAGAGCGGATATGTTGTGTACTGAGATAAGATAGTGAGAGCGGATATGTTGTGTACTGAGATAAGATAGTGAGAGCGGATGTGTTGTGTACTGAGATAAGATAGTGAGAGCGGATGTGTTGTGTACTGAGATAAGATAGTGAGAGCGGATGTGTTGTGTACTGAGATAAGATAGTGAGAGCGGATGTGTTGTGTACTGAGATAAGATAGTGAGAGCGGATGTGTTGTGTACTGAGATAAGATAGTGAGAGCGGATGTGTTGTGTACTGAGATAAGATAGTGAGAGCGGATGTGTTGTGTACTGAGATAAGATAGTGAGAGCGGATGTTTTGTGTACTGAGATAAGATAGTGAGAGCGGATGTGTTGTGTACTGAGATAAGATAGTGAGAGCGGATGTGTTGTGTACTGAGATAAGATAGTGAGAGCGGATGTGTTGTGTACTGAGATAAGATAGTGAGAGCGGATGTGTTGTGTACTGAGATAAGATAGTGAGAGCGGATGTGTTGTGTACTGAGATAAGATAGTGAGAGCGGATGTTTTGTGTACTGAGATAAGATAGTGAGAGCGGATGTGTTGTGTACTGAGATAAGATAGTGAGAGCGGATGTGTTGTGTACTGAGATAAGACAGGGGTTGTGTTTAAGAACGAGAGGATACGACTTGTGTACTAGACCGCTCTTGTTGAAACTCGTAAACCTCGTCACCACAGACACCAACACGATTTGTGTCTGTTAGAAAAATTGTGGAGACCCCTCCCCCAGAGGCGTAGGGTTGGGCTGGGGTGCGGGCTGTACTGGGTGACACCGTTTGGGGGTGGGGGGGGGGGGGGGTGACGCCAAGGCAAACATTTGCAAAATGTACAGAAGAAATTAAAATTGCCTCTTCCATAATGATTAATTAAATTAAAATAGTCTTTTAAATAGAAGTCGACACATATTACAAGATGACGTAAACGAGCTAACTTTATAGAAACAATGCTACATACAACTGTATTATTCACAGACTAAAGATAGACATCGTTACTTCTGCAGTGATTAAAGCTTATACACATACATGTACGCGTATATATATATATATATATATATATATATATATATATATATATATATATATATATATATAAATATAAAGCAATGTTTGCTCGTGCCTGCATGCGTGCGTGCCTTCGTGTGTGCGTGCGTGTATATGTGTGAGTCTCTATCTCTCTCTCTCTCTCTTTCTATCTATTTGATGCATTACTACACTTTTCATCTGATCGCCATAAAATTTTGGGAAGTTGTTGAGAATACTGCAGGGGAGGTTCCTACACACACGCACAAAATTCATATTCGCAGGGTTGGCGCCCCACCTGGGCGCGATTAGATTCTTCTTTATATACATTGCATAAAAATAAAAGTCGGATGTGGCCAGACACCGTTTATCCAAGTGCCATGAAACTGGGTAGTTGATGAGAAAATTCTTATGGAGTGTGAAAATTTAGTCAATACATGGTTTGGCGCCCAGAGTTCCAGAGCGGCAATCTTAGCACTCGGTTAATTGGGCATCCTGCATAGTCAGAGTTTCTTCCAGACTTTTTTCTCCGAGGGGGCACTTGAAATTTTCGGGGGGGGGGGGGGGGGTAGACTTTTTTCGGGGGTGCGGGGCGGACACTGTTAAATGTATATATTTTCTATATAAATTCCATTTCGTTCGGGGAGGGGGGGGGGGCGGTAGACTTTTTTCGTGGGGGACGAAGCCCCCCCCCCCCCCCCCGAAGAGATGCCTGGAAGAATTTATGTGCATAGTAGATAAGGGGGTACTACTATATTCAGCGGTAAAACTGCAACAGACGCATCCGCCGGTACTCCGGCGATTTGCCCCGTACCTTGTGACATGGACGCTTCTCCTAAGAGAAAACACGACAACACCAACCGTTTTAAACTAAACGTGAACGTGTCGCCATCTTTTGTATCCTGGTCGTCTGCGGTCCTGATGTTCTGGATGTTTGGTGACGTCACTGTGACTGTTGTCATATCCGGCCCTGACACGATGACAAGAACTGGATGCTCGCTGTCAGAAGACGGTTGGAAGAATTCGTGAGCGAAAGTACGTGTTTTATTGCTCACAATACAAACCATAACTTTCACAAACTGGTGTTTCTTGCATCATCGCTTGGGAAGTGTGTGTGTGGGGGGGGGGGGGAGGGGGATCTATATCCTGGTGCACATCCACCACCTCCCGGGACACAACATTTGTATCGAAAATGTATTATCTAATACCTTAGCAAGTGTTGTTTCGGCTCCCTCCCCCCCATCCAAAGTTTCAATTGTCACCCCCACCCCCCACCCCCCAAGAAATGTTTAAAAAAACTGCTTACAAATTCATAATCGGCTTTTTATTCCACTAGAACCATAACGTGTTATGTGTAACCCACGTAAATATTAAAAACTTGATACAATTATTATAATTATACGATGCAATACAAACAAATTTGAATAGCCTGTGACCATAAGTAACAGAGATGGACGTGTGCAAAATTTACTTGCTTGAAGGTGTGAACCAAGTAGCGCCGACCAAACCCCTCCACCGGTACAACAGGAATATAGGCCGTGACCTGCTGACCTTTGACGTCAATGTAAACATCCAAACTGAACTTCCCGTTTCCTCGGTACACGAAGGCTCCGGATATTCCCGTTTGTGTTGGGCTGTAGTAGAGGATACGTAGATACTTAGAATACATAGATGTTACAGGGCCTACTTGCCGTGTTGCCTAAAATAGTCTTGACTTTATTATGAAACACGCTGTTCATCATATGCCTAAAATAGTCTTGTTTTTATATACGATAAAACATGTTGATAATAGCGTTTAATAAATAACTTAGAGCTTTGAAATAGATAATCATTTGAACAATGTAGACGAGCTAACTCTCAGCTAACATATAAGATAGTGTTTACGAGTTTATGCGAATAAATTATTGGATATTGTGGATAAAATGTGGGTGTAGGTAAAAGTATATATTTGTCTATATTTCGGTTGAGGGGGGGGGGGGGGGATGAGTGGTAGACTTGTTTCTTCAAGGTGGGGGGGGGGGTGCTCCGAAGAGATGCCAGGAAGAAACTGGTTATAAGGTTATGGCTAGAACTAATAGAAGAGTGTCGTAATTAAACGAAATTGATTCTCTTCTCCCCCCCCCCCCCCCCCCCTCCACTAAAGAAAAAAAAACTATGCCCGACAGGACAAGATCTGTAGGTGAAGTAGACGAAGCAGTTGATGACATACATGACATCCACAGGAATGTCAAAGATGGCGGCCCACGTCTGAATGACACGTTGTGTGGTGACGTTAGCTGGGCTGACGTAGGTCACCGTCTGGGTCACCTTAGTGCACTCGATGAACGGGCTGATGACGTGTGCCTGGGCAGTGCTGCCCGCGGGCAGACGGGGCAGATATGCCACGAAGTAGTCTCCCATGGTGCTGCTGGGGAGGGCTGGGGAAACCCGGAGGGGGCAGGGGTGAATTCACTTTTATTCAGTTAACAAAATGTATGTGTAACTGTTTTGTAGTTTTAAAATATAAATATTGGCTGAGTGATCTTCAGTTTTACTGTGCTCTGTATTTCAGATGAGTAATTAGCAGGCTGCAAGTTTGCCATCAGATTTTGAAATTTGAAGAATACAATTTAGATACGTCCATAAGTTAATTAACAGATTGACGTGGTCAAAAAAATAGAGCGTTCGGCTATTTTCCCGAAGGTATCGAGTTCGAACCTCGGTTCGGACTCTGGACTAGTTCAACAAGCTCTATTGGGTACCAGACTCACTTTGGGGACAGTTAAAGTGGCTGGGCATAGTGCTGACCACACCACCCCTTAATACACCGAGGTCAAGAAACATGAATTCTACTTTACTTAACTGATTAATTAATTAACTAATTAAACATATTGTACCTTGCACTGGAATGATACATATCAATAGAAAAATAAAACTGGTGCAAAATTTTTGTCCCACGTGTTTCTGTTGGGAAAACGTTGATATCATTATTGAGATTGCTACAGTTACCAGTTATATGTACATCTTTTTAAAAGCTAATTATGCCGTTGTCGATAATGCTGCAAAGCAGAACGATCCCTAGTCGTTATAGCTAACACTTGGGTGTAGGTTAGGGCTGTTGATTTTTTATATCAGCTTAGCCTCTGAGCTGATGAGATTGGGTATGTTCAGGAGCAATGAAGCATCGAGGTTGACGGAGTTCTCGGGACGAATGGAGAGAAATATAGTAGCGTATAAGGATTTGTCTCTGTTCGTGTTGCTGTTAGGTTTAGGTAAATGATCAGTTTACGTCTTAAGGACTACGGCTAGATTAAGTTAGAGCTTACGGATAGAAATTTACTCTGTGATATAATTAGGTGTGATTTGTTATATCTATAGATATATTTATATAAGCAGTGTTTTATATAGCCTATATATATATATATATATATATATATATATATATATATATATATATATATATATATATAGAGAGAGAGAGAGAGAGAGAGAGTGAGAGAGAGAGAGATTTCGGCAAAGTGTCAGATACTAGATTATTATCGCATTATTGAATTGATATTATTAACCAAAAGTCCTACATTTTAAAATAAATCACACACGCGGTAAATTATGTGTATAAAACCATTACATATGAATGGGTCATATTTTGCATAAAATAATATCTTAGGAAAAACCGTTCATTTTTTTTAACTAAGATTAACAGTGACTGCCACAGAAACAACAACCCACCATATGCCAAAGCCTGTTGACTATCATCTTTAAACATCTGTATGTGATGCTACATCCTTCAGCAGTGGGACCTTGTTGACAAACAAAAACTCCAGTGTTACATGGCGTTTAGTGCGCCTTTTCACGGTGTGCAATATTTTAAGACAAATTAAACTTTCTTCAAACTTTTAGATAAACAGCAGCAAGTTTACAATGCTAAAATGTATAAGACCTAAATATACGACGGTAGATCCTCTTCACCTATACAGCGGGAATGATCTCTCCTAAACTTTCTCGAATATTCTTAATTTTACTTATTTTAAATTAAAAAAAAAATACTTTTAAAAAAAAATAGAATAGAATAGAATAGAAAAAACTACTACGCACCGAATGAAGGCAACTAAGCTGTGTATAAATAGAGCATAAAAGTAATATTTTATAAAGAAAACATTGATTTTATTTTTAAAAATTAAACATTTCATTCACTCACGTGTAATGAAATAGTGCTTTGTCATCGAGTCTTGACATGCATGAAAATTTTGAAAGAAATCGGTCCAGCAAAAGTAATCTTTTTTGAGGAATCAATGAAGCTTAATGTATTACTTTAGGACACCGAAATATATTCTGTATTCAAGACAGTTTTTTTTAAATAAATCGTGAGTGATCTCCCTTAAACTTTCTCGAATATTTGTATATGAAACAATAGGGGAGTGCAACTCGGATATAGACATGTTTTTAATCCATTTTAAATACTTAAAATTTTTGAAATGGAATAAGATCTCGTAGAAAAAAGAATTGCACACCAAGTGAACGCCATATAAAATGTGAATACTAGTGCGGAATATTATTAATGCTTTATAAATTCACATGCGCTTTTTGAGAAATCGGAAATAGTGAAAATTACCACTTCCGTTTAACGGATATTACTCAAAATTTGACAGAAGGCAGAAAATTTGATATTTTACTTACACGTGAAATTTCATTTATCTATCTGAAATAATACTTAAGTTATAGGCTTTTGAAAAATTCAAAGTAGAAAATGTTCCACTTCCGGTTATTGGAAAAGTTGATACGGATCTACGATTTTGATATGATACTTATTTATGAAATTTCATGAACCTAGCTGTAACGTACTCAAGTTATCGTGTTTACACACACACACACACACAGACACGCATACACACACACAGGCATACGGACAAGATTGCAAAACTATGTTTTTCCGACTAAGGTAGGAGTAAAACGGCGTTGCGAAAATCTCGATTTTTTTTTTTGCACGATTACAAGACTTGTTCTATACTTCGTAGGCCTATATACGAGAAAATAAAAACGTTTCATTTGTTTTTAAAACACGGCGATGTGCAAATAAATAGTATAATAATGTAAGTGCATACATTCAGGGGCGTAGCGAGTGGGAGGGGGGGCGGACCGCACCGGGTGACACCATTTAGGGGGGTGACACCAAGGCAAAAAATAGCAAAATATATAGAGAAATACTTGAGGGGGGGGGGGGGGCAAATCAAAAACTTGAAAGTTTGTCCCCGGGAAGGGTCGCTACGCCTCTGGGTGGGTGACACCATTAAGTGCCGCATCGGGTGACACCCGACCTCGCTACGCCACTGTATACATTACTTAACTAGCTTATTGTATTTGAACTGTGCATTACATCTTTACATGGCGTAATCTTTGTAACCAAAAAAATCTTTTATAAAACGTAAAAAAACTCGCTTTTAAATGCACGGAAAATAATACAATTAAACTAATCTCTTTCAAACATGACAGCCAATGCGGTAAGTGAAGTAGAGTTCACCTATTTCTGTAACCTCGGCGTGTAATAGCGTATAATAGTTATATACAAAATTGTGTCAAACTAACTGAAAAGGTATAGACAAACAGAAAGACCCACATATGCACACACTCGCCCATGCACAAATACAGACACACACACTTACATACATGCAGGTACGCACATGCAGGTACGCATACGCATAAACACACTCATACAAACAACTAACTTTTTAAAATTATGTTTATTATCAGGAAAACGTTTGGTACGCCATCCAGCCTAGGGCGGGATGGCCGAAAGAATCGCCTGCCTTCCTCCTGACCATATAAGGATTAATTTCTTGTTAACTCAATTTAGCCACCGCACTTTCAACATACGTTGTTGGTATTGCTCACTCAATACAACGCCACCATCTCGTGAGAAAGTGAATTCATTCATGCCAGATCGCATAGGGAGCAGGTAGGTTTGTTTGAGAAAAGTTTAATAGTTTTAATTTTTACAAGCTTTTATTTAACTCACTTCCTCGTCAGTCTGTCGTCAGTCGTCAGTCTGTCTAGACGGAAACGCAGGAGTGAAAATTCGGACAGTTGTACTTGACCGACACGATTCACAGTTGGCACGTGGGTCAAGACATGAAGACAATGCAATCTGAAACTAAATTTGACTTAATTGGATGCCTAATTGATTTTTTATGAATTAATTAAAATTTGGACCGAATTAGTAGGCATGTCTAGCCAACCACACCACACGCGTCATCAATAGCTGCGCCTTCACGACCACGTAATGGCTGCGTTCAAAAACCATTGCGCGCCTACTGAACGTGATATTCAGTAGGCGCGCAATGGTTTTTAGTCATGTAACTCTATTGTAGATAAAACATGTAAAGTACTGAAAAAAAAATTCATAAAAAACGTTTTAATAACAAGCTTTTATGTAATGATGCACTAAAAAGTAGAAAATAAATTATAGACTACTATTTAAATAACTATAAAGAAAAGCGTGGGTGTCTTCCTTAACATTAGTAAAGGTATCCAATAGATACTAAAGTGACCCACGCTTTTCTTTATAGTTATTTAAATAGTAGTCTATAATTTATTTTCTACTTTTTAGTGCATCATTACATAAAAGCTTGTTATTAAAACGTTTTTTATGAATTTTTTTTAAATGCCATTACATTGGTATTACTTATGAACTTGTTGCTACTTATTTTAACATGAAAGTTTGTTAACGTAAGTATTTAACTGCAGAATTAACATTATTTTTGTATTTTTTCAAGAAAAAAATATAAAAACGGCTATCTCCTACTTTTAAACCGCTTAAAAGATTTCAGTAACAGTCGTTTAATCCACCATTTACTACTAGCTCCTTGGTAACGAGGTGCAAAGAATCAAACTTTTTAAAAATTTATTCACAAAGCTTAGCGTTCACCGTTTCAAACATAAATACTTAACTCAGTGAAATGATGCAGAGATATATAGATGCCCGGGGCCAACGTCAGGAAAAGATGACCCTACATTCATATATATATATATATATATATATATATATATATATATATATATATATATATATATATATTTCTATACTAGCCGTACCGGCCAAGCCCTGCACTTGCCTCTGTGCAAAACCAATCTCTAAAGGACCATGACGTGTGTTTAGTAATCAGCATATACCCAGCATTGCCCACCTTAATCACAACCAACCAAAACCAAAACAAACAAAAAAATGCAAACATAATGCAAACGCAAACACAAATACAAACAAAAACATAAATGCAAACACAAACCCAACCACAAACGCAAACACCAACACAAAGAAAACACAAACACAAACAAAAAAGCAAACGAAAATAAATCAAACACAAACCCAACCACAAACGCAAACCCAACCCCAACCCAAAGAAAACATAAACGCAAACATAAATGCAAAGTGCTCACAGTCTGGCCCGCGGCGCCAAATATCTCCATGCTGGGGCGCCGGCAGAACCTCTGTTTCAGCTTAGTAAACGACTATTGTGCCCCAACGTATCCATATGCTATTGCACTAACTAAAACGAACGTAGGTGACATAGCGAACACGGGAAGGCCCGGGGCGCCAAATAGCAACCCGTGGGATTGCCGGAGCACGTCAGGATTTGATTTACGTAAAGACTATAGTAACCTTTCTTATCCATAGTCTGTCGCAATGTTTAAAGCGAAATGGGACATTTAGGAGCTGGCTTATTAACTGTTAATGATTTTAAAAAATAATTATTTAACAGAATGTTCAGTGTATAGAATAAGAAAAGGCAGTATTAAGGGGATATGCGCGTTTTTTCCCTATTTTTTTTTTACAATTTAACATCTAAAGCATTTTGAGTACTTTTATCATGTTTGGCATATAAAAGTAAGTATTAAACAGCAAAAAAAAAAGGGTTTA